TTCTGCCATCTAAACTTCCCTCTCCACATCTTGGTTATGCATTCATCTGTCAATGGATATTTGGGGTCTCTTTGGAGTTTGGCTATTGTTGATAATGCTGCTACAAATATTGTGGTGCATGAACTCCTTTTCATCTGTTTTTTTTTTTTTTAATCTATTGGGTAAATACCTAGTAGAGCAACTTCTGGGCCATAGGATAGTTATATTTTTATCTGTTTTAGGAACCTCCATAGTGTTTTCCAGAGTGGCTGCACCAGTTTATATTGCCACCATCAGTGCAAGAGGGTTCCCCTTTCCCCACATCCTCACCATCATCCATTGTTTCTTGTGTTGTTAATTTTAGCCATTTTTAAATGTGTGAAGTGGTATCCCATTGTGGTTTTGATTTGTATTTCCCTAATGATGAGTGATGTTCAATATCTTTTAATGTGTCTCTTAGCCCTCTATATGTCTTCGAAAAAGTGTGTATTCTCATCTTCTGCCCATTTCTCAACTGGGCTTTTTGGTTTTTGGGTGTTCAGTTTGCCAAATTCCTTATAGATTTTGGATAGAAAACCTTTATCAGATATGTCACTTTCAAATACCTTCTCCTATTCCATAGGCCTGAATTTTACTTTATTGATTGCTTACTTTGCTATACAGAAGATTTTTATCTTGATGAAGTCCCAAAAGTTGTTTTTGCTTTTGATTCTTTGCCTCTGGTGATGTATGTAGTAAGAAGTTGCTATGGCTGAAGTCAAGGAGTTTGTTACCTGTGTTATCCCCTAGGATTTTTATGGCTTCAGGTCTCATTTTTAGCTCTCTCATACATGTTCAATTTATTTTTGTCTGTTGTGTAAGGAAGTGGACCAGTTTCATTCTTCTGCATATTGCTCTCCAGGTTTCCCAACAACATTTACTGAAGAGACTGTCTTTTTCCTTTAAGGATTCATTCCTGCTTTGTTGCAGATTATTTGACCATATAATTGTGGGTCCATTTCTGGGTTCTCTATTCTGTTCCATTGATTTATGTATCTGTTTTTGTGCCGGTACCATACTGTCTTGATGACTAAAGCTTTACAATATAGATTATAGTCCTGAATCTTGATGACCAGCTTTGCTTTTTTTCAGGATTGCTTTTGCCATTTGGGGTCTTTTGAGGTTCCATACAAATTTTAGGATTGTTTGTTCTACCTCTGTGAAAAATCCTGGTGATATTTTTATAGGGATTTCATTAAATGTGTAGATTGCTTTGGGTAGTGTAGACATTTTAACAATATTTGTTCTTCCAATCCATGAGGATAGAATGTTTCTTCATTTCTTTGTGTCCTGCTCAATTTCTTTCACAAATGTTCTATAGTTTTTGGAGTACAGATCTTTTACCTCTCTGGTTAGGTTTATTTTGAGGTATCTTATAGATTTTTGCAATTGTAAATGGGATTGATTCCTTGATTTATTTTTCCCCTGATTCATTATTGGTCTGTAGTATTGCAACAGATTTATGTACATTGATTTTATATCTTGTAACCTTACTGAATTCATGTATTAATTCTAGCAATTTTTTGGTGGATTCTTTAGGTTTTCTATGTAGAGTATCATGTCATCTGCAAGTAGTGAAAGTTTGACTTCTTCTTCACCAATTTGGATGCTTTTTATTTCTTTTTGTTTTCTGTTGCTCAGGCTAAGACACTCAGTACTATGTTAAAATTTTAATGGTCAGAATGGACATCCTGACATTGTAGAACATCATCTTTGAAACTTTTCTCCCTATTTACCTTCTTTTTTGAGCAAAAGTAACTATTTTCCTTTATCCATCCTCAATGCTTTCATTTATTGCTCATTACCAGTAATATTAAGCATGAGATGTTAACTAAGGCACAGGGTCATATTAATGTTTATATATTTATAATTTAGAAAACTCTTCCTTGCCAGAAAATTGTTACTCTTTCCTTTAAGGCTTAACTGATACCTTCCTACTTTTTTTAAACATTTAATCACTTGTCATAATTTTTTAAAAGATTTTTTATTTATTTGTTTGACAGAAAGAGAGATCACAAGTAGGCAGAGAGACCGGGAGAGAGAAAGGGGGAAGCAGGCTTCCCGCTGAGCAGAGAGCCCAATGCGGGGCTAGATCCCAGGATCCTGAGATCACGATCTGAGCCGAAGGCAGAGGCTCAACCTACTGAACCACTCAGGCAACCCACTTGTCACAATTTTTAATTATCAATTATATATATATTTCTATTATTATCTGTCTCCACTCCCCACCATTACCACTATAAGACATTGAGATCAGGATCTATGTTTGGTTTTTATGTCCCCAGATCCTAACATGTTTCCTAGCACATAGTTAAAACTAAGTAAATGTTTATTAATTAATTTATTAGTCAGAAATTTAGTCCAAACATTATATCCTTGAATTCGTTCCTAATCTCTATAACCATTACCCTTATCTCTCATCCCATGGACAGAATTTAACATTCCCTCTTTTGTATGTGGGTGGAAATTTTCAAGTAACTTGAAAGACCAACCATACATCCATGTGTACCTGAGACATACCTATTTTTATGCCTAATGTTCTTTTTATTCTGATAAGTGTCTCAGCTTGGACAATAATAAATGGAAACTCTATAGAATTGTGTTTTAGCACTTACTAGAGCCATTTCTAGCCAATCTTTATTAATTTGTTAGTTCTTTGAGGGCAGAATCAATTCTGGTTTCTCTTTCTAGACCCTGGGCCTATTTCAGTATCTGGCATTCAGTGACTATTCTTTCAAATGAAAAGCATTCCTGCCATCTTTGCCTCAAGAAGTTTATATTGTTCAACAAAACAAACACAAAAAAACACATGACACCTACACCCATACACAAGTTTTTAGGACAGACTGTCAACATTTTTCTTAAAATCTTCTTTCTTAAGGCTTTGAAATGTAAATACAAGTTTATGTATGCTAAGTCATTTATTTCTCTTCTGCTTTACGTTATTGAGTAGGATATTTTCCCAATAAACACTAGTAATTACAGTGAGGATTTCTTTTTTTTTAAGATTTTATTTGTTTATTTGACAGACAGAGATCACAAGTAGGCAGAGAAGCAGGCAGAGAGAGGAGGAAATAGGCTCCCTGCTGAGCAGAGAGCTCAATGTGGGACTCGATCCCAGGACCCTGAGATCATGACCTGAGCTGAAGGCAGAGGCTTTAACCCACTGAGCCACCCTGGTGCCCCACAGTGAGGATTTCTTATGTGGGTTTTTTCCTGACCTTAAATTTGCTACTGCATATTGAACACATACTATATGTAACATGCAATTTATTGTATATATGAACATGATAAACGTACTCACAACAATGTTAATTTGGGCAGAGAAAATATAAGAAAATAGAGAAGAAAAAATATTCTATGGTCCAATAGCTAGGAACAGTCAAACCTGTCTTTTACAGGTATCTCTCATTTGCCAGTAAAATATAGTTAGTTTTATAAACAGTTGTTTTAAGTGACTTTTTAAAGTGACTTCTGAGCTTTGAATAAATGTAAGAGGAAAATCTCAAAGTCCTATGTGTACTAGAAATTATTTTGAAGAGAATAAAATGTAAATCAAATAGTAAATGAACTTATAAAGGAAACAGACTTCAAAATTTAAATGAGAGATTAATAGAGAAGTGAATGGATATCTATATATTAGCTAATTCATTAAGGGAATATTTTGAAGTCACAGTGGGAGTATAATCATTACAGAAGTCATATGTTACTGGGATATCTGTTCTGAGACGTCAATTCTGTGTGCATTCAGTGTTTCCATATGTGACTTTCCTAAATGCACACATGCAGTTATGCATATTATTGGTGACTTTCCTTCTTGTTTGTATAAATATTACTAAAGAGTAACTGGAAAACTCTAGTACATTGGTTACCTAGATAATCTTGTTTTAGATTAGTGAACAGTGCTGTTATCCGAAGAGCTTGTTAGTGCTCACAGGTCTAAACCCTTTGCCTCACTGTTAGACTTCTTTAAAAAAACAATATTTTGATGGTGTTTGTTGCAACCTTTACATATACTGAAAACCTATTATATGTTCTATTCACTTTTCTAAGCACTTTCCTTATTCATCTTACATAATCCTTACCTTGTGAGGTAAGTATCAATATTCTTATTTTATGTATGAGGACACTAAGCCTCAGACTGAGAAAAAATATTTGGCCAAGTTAGAACTCAAACCTGCAGAGACAGTTGCAGTACATGAGAGGAGGTGTTTATAAATAAAATTGTTTTTAATTCTTTTTTGTAATTAATATTCTTTTTTAACATCTTAATTTAATTTTATTTCTTTCAGTAATTAATATTCTTTTAAAAATGTTTTGGTTTATTGTTCAAGTTGACTTAATTTTCTCTTTACAGTACAATAAATATAATTACAATAAATAAAAGAGGATGCACATACAATTCATAAGTGTACACATGCACTTTAAAAAAACCTGGAGCAGATCTATCTACTTGTCACTTTTTACTCTACTTTCAATTGTTTGAAAGTAAATAATAGTTTTCTAGTCTGCCCAGGAGATAGAGTCCCTGACATTTTGCAATTAGTGGTGCTGAAGATGTTATGTTTTTCAGGAGTGGAACTCAGCTTTAGCAAGAAGGATCTTGTGTGAGATTTGGTAAAATTTAACTGAGATAAAGGAAAAGAATATTTTCAAAGATGTATATATTCTTGATCCTTGTTGAAATGTCATGTTTTTCTTTCTCAAAGCTGTTATTATTAGCAGTTAATTATAGCATGATTTATTTTGTGAGAGGGGAGGGGAATTGCAGTATTATTGCCACCACTGAAATTTTTATGCATAGAATTATTAAAGAATTAGAATCTCTCTCTTTTTTTTTATTGAGAGATGAGTCCAATCACCTGAATCACAAAAATTAAAGGTCATATAGGCTGTAGTTTTTTACAAAGAAACTGTTGCATTCTGAAGTGCTTTTCCAAAATTTTACTAAACATGACTGTGGTATGTTTGTTTATTTATAGGGACTGGTAATATCTGAACATATCAAACCAAACAGGGAAACGCTTGCTTCATCCCTACCACCACATTTTACCACAAAACAATGTAACTGTATGTGGATTCCAAGCAGGCTAAAAAGAAAAAGAGCTGATTAGACTTCAGACTGTCTCCTGAACGGGATGACGGCCACGGCTGCAGTGGAGACACAAAAAATGGAGAAGAATGCCTCCAAGGAAGAGAAACAACAGTCTAAGCAGGACAGCATGGAGAAAAGCAATGCTGACTCAGAAGAGTGGATGAACTCCGAATGTGACCCTGAACAGATGATCCTTAAGAGCAGCAACAATGACAATAGTTATCAACCTGGGGATGTTTACTTGAAAAAAAAGGAAATTCCCTCTAAGCCACACCGTCAGCTCTATAGATCACCCTGCTTAGATCATCCAAGCTTCTCCCAGAGCAGCATTCTGCAAGAGGGGAAGCTTGACTTGGAAAAGGAATACCAAGCCAAGATGGATTTTGCTCTAAAGCTGGGCTATGCAGAGACACAGATTCAATCAGTGTTGAACAAGTTGGGCCCAGAATCACTTATTAATGATGTATTGGCAGAGCTCGTCAGACTTGGGAACAAAGGTGATTCAGAAGGACAGGTCAGCTTGAATCTTTTAGTGCCTCGGATTCCCAACTCCAGAGAGATCACAAGTCCTGAACTGTTTCTCGAAGATGAAATAGACAGCAGTGAAAATTTGAGGCCAGTTGTCATAGATGGAAGTAATGTGGCAATGAGGTAAGTGTAAAATATATTTACTCTTTAAAAAAGAAAAAAAAAATCCCTGAGCTCATAGAAATCATCTTCCTTTGCTAAACACTATAAGAGGCCCCTGGTTGTTGTCTATGGCTTGTGCTCTTGTAGGTGGAGAGAGGCTAAAATGATCCCACCTTTGCCCTTTCTCCCTCCCTTAAAATTGTTGGCAATTTGTTTTCAGATACTCTAAAGTAGCTTAGACTTAAGTGATATTTCAGTAGAGACAACTCATTCAACCTTTGTTCCTCTTGGGGTCCCTTCTCCCACCTCTACTTGCCTGGACCAATCATCCTGAGAATGCTTTTATAACATCACTTGGAAGCTTATTTGGGAATGACCAGTAACTCCCAATTGCCATTCTACCAACTTTGGATCCCTCTGCCTGGTTTGGTGATCTGACCTTTCTCCCCTTCCATTTGGTTGTATTTTTCACACCTACTGCATTTACATCAGTTGTTTTAATAGCTTCCATGTAAATTATGATTTCTACCCCCATTGCTTGTGTTCATGTCATTCCTCAGCATAAGAGTGACCTCCTTGGGGAGCCTGGGTGGCTCAGTGGGTTAAGCCACTGCCTTCGGCTCAGGTCATGATCTCAGGGTCCTGGGATCGAGTCCCGCCTCGGGCTCTCTGCTCAGCAGGGAGCCTGCTTCCCTCTCTCTCTCACTGCCTGCCTGTCTACTTGTGATCTCTCTCTGTCAAATAAATAAATAAAATCTTTAAAAAAAAGAGTGACCTCCTCTTTATCTTCATACCCATCAAGATGTACTGCCTCCATAAATACCATCCTTACTTTTCTAATCCCAGTGATTATCTCTGAGCTACAGTACCTATGGTAGGTTGAATAATAGCCCCCTAAAGAAGTCCACATTCTAATCCCTGGAATCCATGAATAGGTTATCTTACATGGTAAATGGGACTTTGCTGGTTTAAGTTAAGGACTTGAGATAGGTGAAATTATCCTAGTTTATCAAAGTGGACTCACTAGAATCACAAAGTCCTTATAAGAGGGAAGAGAAGGAAGGAGGCAGCCAGATAAGAATGACTAGTAGGAGATGTGATGACAGAAACAAGAGGTCATGTGGTGTAAGAAAGAAGTCACGAGCCAAAGAATTTGGATATCCTCTGAAACTGAAAATGGCAAGGAAACAGATTCTCTCCTGAAACCTTCAGAAACAACACTATCTTGTCAGATAGAATTTGAATTTTAGAATTTTAGAATTCTGACCTGAACTAAAAATAAATAAGTTGGTGTTATTTTAAGACACTAAATGTGTGGTGATTCGCTACAGAACAATAGTAAATACATAACCACGAGTGCCTTCATACTTTATTCCATAATTTCTCAAATAATTTTTTATCTCACATAAGAGATCTTTAGGAACCCCTTCTTCCATTTTTTAAACAAAAGTAAACTATTAAAAATAGTTTTTAAAATATTTTTATCAAAATAAAAACCTCCTTTTATTTCCAAATGAGTTGTCATTCAGTTTAGCTGAAAAATTCTAAATGATTGGGGCAGCTGGGTGGCTCAGTCAGTTAAATATCTGACTTTCAGTTTTGGCTGAGATCATGAAATCAAGGTTGTGAGATCAACCCCCTGTCAGGCTCTACACTCAGCAAGTACCCTCTGTGCCCTTCCCCTGGCTCTCTGTCTCAAATAAGTAAATAAATTTGAGCTCTCTGTCTCAAATAAGTAAATTTTTTTTTTAATTCTCAAGGATCAGGAGCCTGTTTCTTAATGAGCCTATCATTGGTTGATGAATTCACTGGAATCTTAGACTGTACACAACCAGAACAAAAGTAAGAAGCTTTAGACTAGCAAGTATTTTATTCAATTATCCCATTGATCTGGAGGGCAGGGGTCTTGTTTTATGTCTTTCTTATATTCCTCACAGCACATAGCACACTACTGGATGCACCTAGAGAAGGAGCATGGATAGCAAAAGTCTTATGAACCATACCATTGTTCTATGCAGGAGTTTTTTAGCAGGCTATCTGGAGGTACATCTTAGTATATAGTTCTATATAATCCTCGCAACAACTTTATTTTACAGATGAGAAAAATAGAGTTCAACAAGGTTCAATGATTTTTTAATTAACATGTAATGTATTACTTTTTAAATTTTAATACATTGATTCATTACTCTTATATAATACCCAATGTTCAGTACAACATATAACCTCCCTAATGTCCATCACTGAGTTACCCCATTCCCCCACCCCTTCCCTCCAACAGCCCTCAGTTTGTTTCTTAAGTTTAAGAGTCTTTTATGGTTTGTCTCCCTCGCAAGTATAGTTTTGTTTCATTTTTTCCTTTCTTCCCCTATAGTCCTCTACCTTCTTTCTTAAATTCCACATATCAGGGGAGGGAAGAAAGATAGTGGAGGTATAGGAGACCCCATTTCAACTAATTCTCTGAATTTGGCAGTATATCTACCAAACTATTTTGGACACCTATGAAATCAGCCTGAGATGTAAGAATATATATCTGAATCTCTACAAGCTGAAAAGCTACTGCTTTTTGCAAGGTAGGATGTGTGCTGTCATGAATCTGTGGGGTGATATAGGAAGATAAACATAAGGGGGAGGGAGGCCCCATAAGCTCGTTCCTGGAAAGTGATATAACATTGGAGCACAAAATCAACCCTTAGAAATCTGCTCCAGTGAGAGACATCTCTCTCCTAAAAGGGTTCTGGAAATGAAAAGGCAGAATTCTAGGTAGGACAAGGAATTGTGGTCTCAGGATCTGAGGAGTCACAGAGCAAATGGGTAGATACTCTACCTGAACTGGTAGAGTGCCTGAGCAGTGAAATCAGGAAGCAGATTATGGTCAGTGAGTCCAGGAGGGAATTCTCAGCTCAGACCATCATAAACCATGAGTTGTGCTGGTTGATAATTGCTCTTCTCTTGAGAAGCCTGAAAAAGTCTGGAACCTGCACCTGACTAGACAAAAGCTCTCAGGGCAGTAGCAGCCCAGAAAGGACTTTAGAATGGCAACCAGACATGATCAAGGAGCTTCAGGTGTGCATGCATGAGCCCACCTTTACTCATGGTTTTGGAGTCAAAAAGGTCAGTGGCAGTCCCAGTCCCCTGGGACTACCTCTAAGAGAGTTTCAGTGAGCACCCCCCATGGGAGGCTGCAGTTTTCAGTGCATACAGAAATGGAGACTGTTTGTCCTGGAGGGTTTATTAAAGAGAAGACTGCAATCTTTCTGCTCTGGGCCAGAGGTTTGGGCACAGCCATTTTTGCTCTGACCATCTGAAGAGACATGGAAAGCCTCCAGGTAACAAAAACCATACAAAGGACCTGTTTGCACTGATCCCATTCCCCCTGAGAAGGGGAGGGACAACTCTTCCCAGGTGGGGATACCTAAGAAACACCACAGCAGGCCACTCCCCATAAAGTCTGAAAGAACAGATGGATGACAAGCCTATGGATCCCATAAGACTATAAAATTCCAATGCCATGAGCAAATAATGTATTGAGCTCCAGGTGTTGCCCCACGACTTATTTATTTTTCAGATAAAACTCTCTTTTTATTTTTCTTCTTTTTCTTTTTTCTTTTTACCTTTTACTGATTTCAACCAGATGCTTATTATACCAACTTGTATTTCATAGTCACATTTTAACTTGTATTTTCTCACAATTATCTTTTTTTATAGATAAATGCTTCATTTTACTCCTTTTATACTCTATTCTCTCTCTCTCTCTCTATATATATATATATATATGTATATATATATAACTTTTTTAGGATTTTATTTATTTGTCAGAGAGAGAAAGAAAGAGCAGCAGGCTGGGAGATAAACAGGGTCCCTGCTGAGCAAGGACCCTAATGTGGGACTTGATCACAGGACACTGGGATCATGACCTGAGCTGAAGGCAGACACTTAACTTACTGAGCCACCCAGACTTCCTATAAGGTTTACTTTTGTTGCAACTTTAGGATGTAGTGTCTTCTAACAAAATTCACCCAGAAACAAGTGGAACACCCTGCTTTGTCCACACTGCAAGATTATAATCTCTCTTCCCCTTCGCCCTTTTATTCAATTTTATTTTGGTGTTTCATTTTGACTTTGCTTTACTGTGGTGGCTTCTGACTACTCAGGATGTTGCTAGGGTGCAACATCCCAAACAAGATGTGGTTGATATTTTAGACTCTGTTCACTGGCCCACCCATCATTCTCTTGACAGAATGGTAAGAAAGAGGAACTCACCAAAAAAAAGGACCAGAGACTATTCTCTGGCACAGAGATAATAGATATGGATATAAGGAAGATTCATAGATAGAATTCAGGATAGCAATCATAAAGTCAATAGCTAGGCTTGAAAAAAAGCATTAGTGACAATATAGAATCTCTAAGTGCAGAAATGAGACTAATCAGGATGAACTTAAAAGTTCTATGAATGAGATGCTATCTAAACTGGATATTCAAACAGCCAGGGTAAATGAGGAAAAATAGAGAATAAGTGATCTAGAAGATAAGCTGATGGAAAGGAAGGAAACTGAAGAAAACAGAGATAGGTAGCTAGTAGCCCATGAAAAATGTGGAGAGATTAATGATATCATGAGTTTCCAATGTCAGAATCATTAGGATTCCTAAGTAGGTGGAGAGAGAGAGAGAGAGAGGGCTAGAAGGTATATATGAGTAAATCATAGCTGAAAACTTCACTAATCTGGGGAAAGTAACAAGCATTTGTGTCCAAGAAGTAGAGAGGACCCCTTCCAAAATCAATAAAAATAGATCAACACCCTGACACATAATAGTGAAGCTTGCAAATCATACAGACAAGGAAACTATCCTGACAATAGCTAGGGAGAGAAGGTTCCTTACATATGGATGGAGGAACATCAGAACAACATTAGACCTATCCCAGAAAGGTGGCAATCCAGAAAAGCCTAGGAAGACATATTCAGGGTATCAAATGAGAAGAACATGCAGACAAGAATACTTTATCCAGCAAGGCTGTCATTCAG